CTTTGTCTCATGTACTTTGGACATGTTATCAGGAGAGACCAGTCCCTGGAGAAGCACATCATGCTTGGTAGAGTACAGGGTCAGCAAAAGAGAGAAAACTCCCAATGAGATGGACTGACACAGTGGCAGCAACAATGGGCTCAATCATAGCAACAATTGTGACGATTGTGCAGGATTAGGTAGTGTTTCGTTTGGGTAATGTTCTGTTCTGTTGTACGTAGGGTCGAGAAGGCCCCTAACAACAACTACAATGGTAATTCTATTTTTAGTTTTTGAGGAACTGCCACACTGTTTTCCACGATGACTGTTCCACTTTACATCACCACCAGCAAAGAGTAAGAGTTCCAATTTCCCCACATTTTTGCCCACATTTGTTATTTATTTATTTTATCTTAGTCATCCTAAAAAAACCAAAACCAAACCTATTGCTGTCGAGTCGATTCTGACTCATACATCCTAGTGGGAGTGAAATGATATCTCATCATGGTTTTAATTTGCCTCTCTCTGATGGCTAATGACATTGAGCACCTTTTCATGTGTTTGGTGGCCATTTGAATGTCCTCTTTGGTAAAATGTTTATTCAAGTCCTTTGCCCATTTTATGATTGAGTTATTTGTCTTTTTGTTGTTAAGTTGTCAGAGTTCTATATATATTTCAGTTATTAGATTCTTATCAGACATATGGTTGCCGAAGATATTCTTCTAGTCATTAGCTTGTCTTTTCACTCTTTTGGTAAAGTCTTTTGATGAACAAGAGTTTTTAATTTTTATGAGGTCCCATTTATTTATTTTGTCTTTTGCTGTTTGTGCTTTTGTTATTATATTAGATAATCCATTTTAAAAAGCTAAGTGCGACAGTCCTGCCCCTGCATTTTCTTCTAAGAATTTCATGATTTTAGTTTTCACATTTAGGTCTTTAATCCATTTCGAATTTATTTTTGTGTATGGTGTGAGGCATAGATCCTGTTTCATTTTTCTGCATGTGGGAATCTAATTTTCCCAGTACTATTTATTGAAGAGATTCTTCTTTCCCCTTCAATCGGACTTAGCACCCTGGTCAAAAATTAGTTAACCATAGATATGTGGGTCTAACTTCTCTTTTTTGTTGTTGTTGTTAAACTTTTAAGTTTACTAATAGAAACCAACAGTTCATACTAAATAAGTGAAGATAGCACAAATTTAAAATTAAAAAAATTGAACGTTTCATGAATTTGCATGTCATCCTTGCCAAAGGGCGATGCTAATCTTCTCTGTATTGTTCCAATCTTAGTATATGTGCTGGGGAAGCAAGCTTTTTTTTTTTTTTTTTTTTAATTTTCTTAGATGGGTGCAATTCTCACTTTAATTGCAAAAGACTTCATTTAGAACACATTCAATAATGAACAGAGTTGCTGACTTATGAGCATATGAATATATAAAAGTTCCTTGAAGTTCAAGTAGTCAAGGTAAGAGCCCTCAACATGATTTTCTCTTTGAGGGTCTTCTGTGATTTTACTTAACTCTTCTTATCTAAATTACATTTTAATTACTTTTGCAGCATTTAGTTGGTATTCCCATCATGTGTCTGAGAGTTGTCATAAGGCCAAATATGAGTTTAATTAAGATGTTCCGTCTTTGGGCGTATCCAGAAAACATTGCATTTAATCTCTATATTGTTCCAAAGCATCATCACTAATTGCATAGTTGAAGTCATGTCACCTAGAAACAAATTCAAACAATGAGCTGTACGTGTTGTATAGAATACT